AATTCACAAGAAGGTCGACTCGTGCCGGTGTGCCATCTCACCGCACAGCTGCCGGCACCAAACGATGAGGGAAGTTTTTCGGGTGGACTCAGCGGTTTCATGTACAAGAAGCATGTTATCACGTTCGACAAGGCGCATTTGTTGCGCGATATGAACTGCATCTCCAAGTTTTTGATTCGCACTTGCCAACTGCAACTTGGCCCCAACGACCCGTGCAGTGCCAGCTGCCAGTGGAACAGGACGTCTCATACGGATGAATTTCGTTTCTGGTGCAAGGGACCTCACTGTTCCACGATTATTGACTATCATTTTAATGTCGGTTGTCGTGTGTTTGTACGAGCGGGAATCGACACGGTAACTTTTATTTGCGCTGAAGTGCATAACGACGAAGCCGGACGCAGTATGTTTTGGGACGAAGTTACTCTGCGGGAAGTTTGCCATAGCTTTCTCGCCGAACAGCTACTAAGACACTCGGCACAAGCCGACCCGATTGTGGTCAATAACATGACACCGGTCCCTTTCCAACAAGGTAAGCGCGCTTGTCATCGGCAGAAAGGTTTACGGGTTAACGGTTTACGGTCAAAGAAGCCGCAGAAACCTTCCTGCCGAACTTCATAAACCTTTCTGCCGGATCCGTAAACCTTTCTGCCGGCTACACGCGCTCACTGTTTGCGGTGTAATAAAAGCCGTAGACGGCGACACATTCGACTTCAGCAAAATTCGGTTTCCGCCGACAGCCTTCCGCTATCGTCAAGCTCGGCTTTTATGTTTATTCTATCACAGTATCATGAGAGCTAGGTCCCGCTCGATGAGCTAATGTTGCTGGAGCGATCACTAACTGGATATGTTGCAGAAAGAGGTGAAATGCCCATCTTCGGCCTTCCAATTTCGATCCTTGGCAACATTTTTTTTACAATGGATGTCAATACGGAGCTGCGCATGAGCCAGTGAGTTAGCTGCAGTCGTGGGCCAATTATGGCAGGCGGCCATTGGCAGCCAAATAAATAAAATCTTTTTATTGCTCGCAAATCAAGCGCAATCGTCATTCACTCATAGAATACGCAAGTTGGGACAAGGCTTTTTTATAATCGCAGAAACCGAATTGGACATCGTAGACCTAATAAACATTTAACTTGAGTACGGGTCAAGAAACGCGAAACAGGAAACGCTAAGCGCTAGTCAATATAGACTAGTGAAACAGTAAAACATGAAACACTGAAAAATGAAGTAATATTCAGGAAACAATGAAACATGAAACGTTTCGTGTTTCATGACTCGTTTGTAGGTTTCGAATTTTTGTGATTCAGTGTTTCATTGTTTCAGGTTCCCTTTCTTGTTTGGTTTCTTAGGTTTTTAGTTCGTGCTTCCTGTTTCGTGTTTCATCACTTAAATGTCTCGTTTTGCATGTTTCATGTTTCATTGTTTCAGCTTTCTGTTCTTGTTACTTGTTAGGTTTTCGCAGGTTCCTTCTCCATGCTTTTCGTTTCACGTTTCATGTTTCATAGACTTCGCCTTCATGCTTATGTCACTGAGTTATGTGTATTTCGTGTGTTTCATGCGTTTCATGCGTTTCATGTGTTTCATGCGTTTCATGCATTCGTGTATTTCGTGTGTTTCATGCGTTTCATGTGTTTCATGCGTTTCATGCGTTTCATGCGTTTCATGCGTTTCATTTGTTTCATGTATTTCGTGTGTTTCATGTATTTCGTGTGTTTCATGCGTTTCATGCGTTTCATGCGTTTCATGTGTTTCATGCGTTTCATGCATTCCTGTGTTTCGTGTATTTCGTGTGTTTCATGCGTTTCATGTGTTTCATGCGTTTCATGCGTTTCATTTGTTTCATGTATTTCGTTTCATGCGTTTCATGCGATTCATGTGTTTCATGCGTTTCATGCATTCCTGTGTTTCATGTAATTGTGTATTTTATTGTTTGATGTTTTAGGATGCTTAGGCAGTCTAAGTTTTCTGAGGTTAAAGGTTTCACCTTTGTGCCTAAGACGTCAAACTGATCATTGTCCCAACTCAAACATTCTCTCCATTCACTGGACCAGCGCAAAACGTTTGCCCAGTAAATGTTTGCTGCGCAGTTTTTTAAATTCGTATATTTGTATATTTCTTTGCTATTTGTTTGTATATTTGTAATATTTTGTATATTTGTATATTCAAAGATTATCGTACAGATTGCTTGTGCGGACGGAGTAACTATGCTATCCGATAATTACAGGGTGTGCGCGTTGTGGAGGGCAGTCTCGCGCGACTACGTAAGGAATCACTACATCATCTTCACTATCCCTTGTCTGTTCGCAGCGGAAGACTGGGATGGCTCGATATATTTCAATCTGCACCCTGTCATCAGCTATATTCTGGCAGCGACAATGAAGCGAGCCGCTTCCCATGAAATACGCGCACTGGCGATAGTGGACGAATTAACACCGGATGACCGCAGAAGGTGTGACCCCGATGGGGCAAACTTTCAATGGATAGCGGCAGCGATTTTCGATGTTCTGGATAAGAACAGCATCCGCCTGCCACTGATTGTCGCCAAGAACAGCTACGAAAAGGCGTCCATGGGGAGTGACTCTATAATTCCTGCAGCTGGGACCAGGTCACCGGGATGGAGTGTTTGGAGGCAGCAGACTGTCGAGATGGATGAAGATTTGTAAACAGTTGCTGCTCATCAACTTCACCGCCTCCAATGAGACCGGCGACAGGCCTTTGCTGCTCATGTCGCACTATGGAGGCGGGCCGAAATGGCCGGACGGCGAGAATAACTTTATGCGATCGCGGGACGACGAAAATGGACGACTGGGCGTGAGTTTTCCGCTGGTGCGTTTCCGCTGCACGGACACCGCTGCCGAACAGTGTCAGCGCTTCTTTATTGCGGCCGATAACGAATTCCCGGCCGTTACGCAGCGGGCACTGGAAAAGATCACGGCGCTGCATGCGCGCTGGGTGCGGACGTTGGCCTATCCCGAAGAGTGGACGTGGATTCGCACTTTCTTACGGGTGTAAGTATTGCTAGCTGTGTCCTTGCACATGATACGTTGAAACACGGAAATGGTTTGATTAAATGCGGGTGTTTCATGTTGAACAGGCTCAACGGCGTTGGTCCCGATGACAGTCCGCTGCACTGGGATGACGTCGACTTACGACAGCTTGATTTATCAGGGCTGAACAAAATAACCTTCGCCGCGCTCGACGCGTACTACAAAGACTGAAGCATACGCCTTTCGATTAACAGTATTACTATAGTAGAAATGTGGATGTACGCTTCAGCGATATTGAATGTTACGGCAACTGTGGCTGCAGTTGCATTTGTTCATAATAGACATCATCCTTAAAGAACGCGATTTCGTCTTACTGCTTGCTTTCCAGAACAGTATGAATTTGTTTTTATACGCGTGCACTCTCTTAATTGTCCTCAATCTGACCTTAATTTTAAGCGATAAAGTTCTTCCTGATTTTCTGCATGAATTAAAGCATGGCATGCGAGTCATGCGAGCATTTCTGCATGGCATGCGAGTCTTTTGGCACATGGTGTGAAGGCGCCATTGTTGTTTTTAAAGAAATCGGGAAAAGCTTGTTTGTTCGAACTGGCGAGTCCCGATCTACCTCTTTTTTTTGTTTCAGCGGCTAAGTTTAGAGATTTGGCGTGGTATGCTCAGTTGGTTTTGGCGACCGTTTCCGCACGCTCCAACTGGGATAATTTTTTTATTTGATTAGTGAATATTGTTTTTGTGACGCTATCCGCTATACTCAAGGTTAATAAAGATAATTAAAGCTGTACCAAACAGTGCCATGACTCGTCCCATCGATGCGTTAGCTTGGGAAGCTGTTTCTGGCGACATCGCAACAAAAATTCAAGTGAATTACTGCTCAGAAAATGCATACTTCTAAAGATAATGCATAAAGGCTGGACTGGAATTTTCAGGGAGATCAGCTAATATATAATACTCTGTACATGCGCGACACGATTCGGCAGGGAAACAGAACGCTTTGCCGCCAACTTGTGGTGTCACCAGGGGTATTCACGGTATACCGGTATGCCGTATTCTGCGTTGGTACAGTAGACAGAAGATTTTGCTTCCGAGCGGTGTTTTTCTGTACATAACACCATAACTGAACCGCACTAATGTAATTTGTTGTCCAAATCAATAATGTTTGCGCGAGCTGAATGAGAATTATTTTTTACTATTGGTTGCACTATTTATTACTATTGGTTGCACTTTTTAACTACAGTATGCTGTTTTCATTCCAATCGAAAACACTCCGTCAGGAAGGGAAAAATGGTTAAATGGTTAAATGGTTGGGTGATCTGCTGATCGTACTCATTTGTTTCCAGTAAAAAATTTGATTAAAACTAAATAAATTTTTAATTATGAAAGATAATTCCAGTAAAAATTTGATTGAAATAATTATTACAGTTTTATCTGCGCCAGGATGCATCAGAAACATGGCGTATTTAATGTATCAGTTTGAATGGATCGCAAAAAGGCGGAGAATATTCTTGACCTACCATATTATAACATTTTGCTGCAATATCCGCTCAACTTTTTATGATATCTGTCACAGTCACAAGCTTAACTACCACCTGAATACGTCGGGAAAATGGCAATTAACGCTCGGCAACACCGCCATAGCCGTTATCTTCTCTTCCTGTTAATTCAAGTCGCAGTAGCCTAGTTTTGACTGGAAACACATTATTACCACACAAGCTTGTTATCAGCTGCGTACAGCGCAGTGCCAGTGATGACATCAACAAATCCATGTGTTACTGTTTGCGTGGCGCATCGTGCTTATCACCGTAATAAACAACTGCTCAGTGATCAACATGTCGCAGTGAGCGCCACGCAGACACCTGATAACGCGTCCGACATGGCGCAATCACTAGCTGCACCTAATTAAAGTGCATCATTGTGCGCCAGCTCTGAGCTCATACTTCCGGGACAGCGTGAACATATTGTTGCGACGTGAATAACTACTTCTGTATATAAACAAGGCAAACGCCACAGGAAATATTCATATTCGCAACTAGTCTTGATATTTTTAAACTTTTGTATATTAGACAACTTGTTTTATGGTCATACAATTCTGCCTTTAAGTTGCTTTCACACTGCGTATGAAGAAATGGGGCGCTACGCCTGTTTCCTGACGTTGTTGCTTGTCAGTTGTATGGGCATCGCTGTATTCTCACAAGAGGAAGGCCAAGAATTCCGTTATGCCGGCAGTGATGCCACGGTGTACGAGGAAGGCAACGGTGACGATGTGGTCCGTGCCGTTATGGAGAAACTGACCAGCGTCTGTAAGTGCTTCTTATCGCTGCCAGTGCGGTTTGAATTCTTAATAAAGCTTCTTATTTTTAGGCATCTTTAAAAAGGATAAACAAATGATACGGACCATCGCGCTAGCGGCGTCGAACGACGGGACCAAACCCGGAACATTCCGTCCAGGTTATCATGGTGGAATCTGGCAGGTGGGTTGTGGATAATTTCCGAACATTCAAGACCTCTCGAGTATTAAATTTTTGTGTTTTTTTTTTCCAGGTGGACGAAACAGTCTTTCAGTCCACGAAGGATTATTCCCTGAGTTATCTGTGGCGTCGCTTCAACAGCGCTTTCAACATCGACTGGCCCACGGTGCAGTGGCGCGATTTACGGAAGCCGTTGTATTCGGCGCTGGCGGCGCGTCTGGCTTTGGCCATGGTTGCTGATGAAAACAACAACGATATGTAAGAACCCACAACAGATTGGTGGTATTCAGCCAATGATTTTAGAAAGTCAGAATTTTTGCCGATTATAGTGAGAATTCGCTGCCGTGGGATACGTACAGCCAAGCCAACATGTGGATCCACGCGCTCGGTTTATCCGGTGACCTCGGCGCGTACCATCAGATGTACCAAAATGCTGTCCAACAGTTGCGCAATATTTCCCGTACGAGCGATCTTTTTCAGCCCCTGAGAACGAAATTTTGTTGTAAACTGACACTCGTTTTCTTATTTCCATATTATTATGAGCAGGTTGCAAATCCGTCGGTGCGGATATCGCTTTCGTTGTCGACGGATCCGGCAGTATCGGATCGGAAAACTTCCAGCACACCCTCAATTTTGTCAAAGAAGTGAGTTATCTCGGTGCTCAGCAATGGCACAAAATTAAAAAAGAATAATTAAACAGTATGTAAAAGGATAATAAAAGTTTAAGTAACATACATATTGCCACATTAATAATTATTCAGCTAAAAATATTTTTCATACATGATAATATACGTATTACTCTAAAACCTAAATAGATATAATACCGTTGCCTTATTTCACAATATGGATAGACATTGTAAAGACACGCATAAAGGTCACTGAAGACAATCGAATTAAGAATTCGCCAAATTAATTCAGCATGAGCAGGACTACTTAAATTCCTAAGCTGAATACTGGAAATCGCACGCTACAGGTTATTAGCCGACTGAACATCGGACCCCAAAGCAACCAGGTGGCTCTGGTCCAGTACTCTGACTATGCGCAGGCTGAATTTCATCTCAACACATATTCGACAAAAGAGCAGGTTGGTCCTTAGTAATTTCAAGTGGTACTAGAACAGGACGCCCACTCACTGGTTTGCCGTTGTAGGTCTTGCAGAAAATCTCATCGGGCATCTTTTATCAGGGCGGCGGAACTGCTACTGATTCCGCATTGCAGCAGTTGCACCAGAACGTCTTTACCGTCGCCAACGGTGCCCGTCCCCAAAAAGCCATACCACAATTTGGTAAGGCGATAACCGAGTGTGTCTTCGTCGCTTCTGATTGGTAGATAATCGCGGTTTTTTTGTAGTTATAAATTTTTATTTATTTACGTAGTTATGTAATTGACTAATGGCGTCCTATGTTTACAGCGGTCCTTTTCACTGACGGCGCCGCCAATGATAACGTCGCGGCGCAAACGGAAGCCAGCCGGGTTCACAGCAAAAACATTACGCTGCTATCCGTCGGAATTGGCGGCTGGATTACCGAAACTGAATTAACTGGATACGCTTCAAATCCAAGTGCGACATTACTCATCCGGCACATATTTTAGAAAATATAACGTCAACGCAAATAACCATTGCAGAATGCCAGAACACCTACCACCTTCAGGGATTTGCGGATATGGCGCAAACGTTTGCTTTCGAACTGGAACAGCGTAGCTGTGACGGTACGAGCATTAATACTGCTTAGAATGGCAAAGTACGGAGCAACAATTAAAAACCACCTTTTTCTGCGTAGGTCCTGGTTTCGTGGTCCCCTTGCCCGTAGACCCGCTAGTTCCGCCCACACCCATCACCATCGTTCTGCAGCCGGGTCAAGAACAGTACATCTGCTTCATAATCCCGGTTGTTAAAGGCGCGACCATCGTTCTCAACGGCACATCAGGGACCTTGCTCGCCTACATTTCCTTCTCCGTCACTAAGCCCAGTGCAGAGTTCTACGACCATAAGATGTCGGCGGCCGCTGGGCAAATCGTGAGTGCTTTTCAAAGAACCAGACATTCATTAGTCGCGAGCTCTTACGGACGTTCTGGGTGATAGGTAACCTTGTACCTGACTCCGGCGATTATCACGTCGTACGTTGGACCCCTCGTGCAAGACGCCCGTGTCTGTATCACTCTGGCGGTAGGCTCGAATGCCACTGCGACCGGGGAAACCCTGATCCATGAAGGCGCCGTGGACTGTGGTGCGGAAGAGCGCGACATGCGTGATAACGATGTCATGACCCTTACCAGCCCGGGTTTCAACAGCCTGACCAACCAGCCAGCCGGGTACCGCGGCGGCCTCAACTGCGTGTGGAAGATCAACACTCCGGCCTGGACGACCCTGGAGCTGACCGTCAACTACTTCAATCTCAACGAGAATTTCGACGAAGAGCCCGGCTGGAACTGCCACGAACAGGACAAACTGGTGGTGGAGACCCAGGGCGCGGTGCAGCCCGGCGGGTATCTGTGCGCCCAGCGACCCACTGGATGGAAGTTTCCGGTGACACGGGCGCTGAACACGACATTCATTACCTTCACGAGCCGGGTGGCGGCGCCGCGGGAGTTCGGGTTCAGTGTGACGGTGCGGGCGATCGGGCGGCATCGGTTGGACTGCAATATCACCGAGATCCAGCTGCAGATGCAGAAGAAGTTCCTGCCGCTGCAGATGCCGGTGCATCGGTATCATCTCCTGGACACTTCCTGTATGGCACGGGATGGCGGTGCCTTGATCCATATGAATACGGGCTACGATCGATGCGGTACCATTCGAAGCGTATGTAACGAACACAGCCACCTTGAAAATAAAATTTTAGAAATGTGAGGAACCTTTTATCTAGAGCGTTCAATTTGCAGATGAACGACGAGAACTTGTACTTTACCAACCAAGCAAGTGCACCCACTTTCCCGTCCTGTTCCAGTGCCGGCGCCTGTATCGATGTGCCGCAAGTGGACATTCCGTTCCAGTGCAAACTGGAGCGCAAAGTTAAACCGTTGAGCGGAGTGTACAACATGCCGGAAGAGTTGTTCCCGCGGACCACGCTGGTGGACCGGCCGTTGCTAGAAGGCAACATTGACGTCGCTGTCAAGTATGAATCTGATGTTTTAATGGTTCGATTGAGTAAAATCGGTTGTTAAGATGTAGAAAAAATCATGGGTTCTTTAAACAGATTGGATCTGGCTCGTGATATCGGCTTTTCTCCGGCCGAAATCGCTAACCCCAGTTTCCATGACTTTGACTTTCAAGGCAACCGCGTGTATTTCCGCGTGGAGGGACGCCGTCGACGCGGCAGTGCGACGACGTTCGTCGTCCAGGCCGATCAGTGCTGGACAACGCCGACACCGGATAAGAACAATCCGGAACGCTTCGACATTGTTCTTAACGGGTACGTTTGAAGAACCCAGGTTTTCAAAGCCCTGAAGTTCGCGCCGATTTTCGCATTTCAAAGAGAGCAGCGTGTGTTCAACGTGACGAAATGTGTATCTTGCTTTATAGTTGTCCAGTGTATCATCGAGACACAAATCTGGAATATAAGCGTCACGACGGCTTCGGTGATCATCAGGATGTCTTCAGCGTGAAGGCTGTCTACTTGAACGAGACCAGACCTCTGCAGCTGCATTTCCACTGCATTGCACGCGTGTGCAACGTCGGACTGGACCATCATCTGTGCAATAAAGGATGCGTCGACCCGGTCAATCTGCCAGTACGCAATGCGGCGCCGGTGACGGAGAAGAGCGAAGCCGCCATGCAGCGTACCGCGCAGCTGGGCTACGTTAGCTTCGGCGGTAAACACGCCGTCCAAGGAGAACTTCGGAGCTGACGCAGTTAACGTCGTTTGATAATTTGTACAAATACTAATATGGTGGTTCCCATTACTCCTCTGTGCTAGAACAGCATTCTCACATAATGTATAAATGTTTGTAGATGGTTAGTAAAAGTCTCGAGATACGATAAAATAAAGAACGGCAAATTACTTGCTCAAATTAATCTAAATTAATTTCATCTTGAATGACTCACATGTGTATCGTACTCGCTCGAACAAATATCGCAGATGCTCGTTTCATGACTCCGCAATCCGCATACGACCAGTGACTGATAATGGCGCAGCAGGACGATTGTTTCTTCGATAAATTAAAAGAAATTTTACTGCTGTGACTTACTCTGTTTTTGTTGCGAAGTTTATTTGATGTGACTGGCTTGTGCTAATAAAACCATGTACCAATACAGTGCTACACGTGACGGCGATGTACGTCGTTACTGCTCACTACAAGCCGATAAACAAGAGCTTCTCGCTGCTCAACAAAACATTGTCGTCTGGCGCGGCGGTGGCAGAACATAGCTGCGCTGTGACGGCAGTGTGCTCCTCTGCTCACCACCAACCCGCGGGGGGGATGCTGAATCCGCAGCACTTGCAGCAGGCGCGTGGTTATATGCTGCCGATGAGTGCCGAGCAACTGACCACGGGATGCTGATGTTCCCGTCGCCATCGCTCTCCCTTTCAGAGGAATTACGACAGCGCCTGCAAGCCGTCCTTTTCCATCGGTTGCGACGGCGCGATACTTTGTATCGCTGTCGTATCCGATTTAGCAGGTGTACAGTACTGTGTTACCGCTTAGCAACGTATCTATGCAAGCATGATGTTGATGAGCAGAAGACCAGTTAGTTGTACTCATTCGGAAAGTAATAAAAATATTACTTTATGGCAAGTACTTCACAGCAGGCTATTGCCTGCGGTACTTGAAGTCGATGGCGACCCTTGCACCGCTGCGCTGGCCAATTTGTACAATTAATGAATTTCTACTAGACTAAACATATCAAGATGCTGAATGTCAGCTGAGCTTTGTTGCGCGGCCCTGCATTCTGTGCTAAATGCTGCCAGATATATTCACTATTCAGCCAGAGCGACCAGCGGCTAAATCCTGCGCTTGGCGAGGTCCTTGGCGTTCGTAAACAACGGACGAACGGTCGAACGAACGGTTACTGATCAGAATTTAATTCGTAACTAGAGAATAATTCGTTCGTGATAATTCGTTCGTAACTAATTTAATTCGTTCGTGACGCTGTAGAGAGGATGTGATCATGCGGGTGACTGTGAAGCAGCTCCGTGCCCAACTGATCCTGGCTAACTTTCTCACATCGCCACCGAAGCTCAAAACTGTACACAACGACCGCCCACACACCGCTGATTACATCGTTGGCTTTATCGCCGGCCAATCAAATAAAACAGAAAATTACTGGAATTCATTAAACACTTGTCATAATACGCAAAACTGGTATACATCGTGCTATTCAACGATGACCAACATTTCATAATATGCCTGTGTACATTATACCTAAACGCAACAACTCATCCTCCGCCGGGTGTGTGTCCGGAGGCGCGCTCACATTCAGCTCTCCATGCGTAAATTGTTTTATTCGACACGCCCGTACATTTCAGAATGCGGGCGATGGCTACGGCTTCCTTGGGGTACATACGATACACCCCGACCACTTCTGCTTTCTCTTCGCGGGTAAACGTGCGCCCGCGACGATTACGTAAGCCTGGACGAAGCATCCCCTCCAGCACGCCAGGGCGGGGCTTAGTGCCCTTTTTGGGTCGCCCACGGGGGAACGGTTGGACTGGTTCCCCCTTCAATCTGGCGTCCTGCCGACCCGCGGCCTTCACAAGATGCTGCAGCTGCAACGATAAACACGCCTATTAACCCGGTTCGGAGCGATAACGAGTCAGGGACGTACGCAGAGGCCCTCCAGCCGCTTCAGCTCCGCTTTGCAGTTGTACACATTCCCCTTCTCGCCCACCACCGTCACAACGTCGGTGTCCTCGTCGACGCGGACCGGGAAGTGGATTTTGACCTGGAAGCGGTCTTCCAGCTGCTTCAAACTGGTGCGATTGTCGCCGATGATGCAGGCGTGGATGCGGCTGTCCAGGGGCACCTCCACGCGCGCCTTCCTTTTCTGCACAACGGACACCAATAAGAAGGTTAAACTAAGTTCGTATTTTTCTGTTATAGTTTAGCGTGTTTTTTTCTTCAAATTGGCTCTAAGCAGGGCGCAATCCGAGGGAAACCGAGAAACGGCTGAAAAAGGCGCCGATGGGGGAATCGAACCCCGGCTACGTCGTTAGATCCGCGTACGCAGTACCACTGCACCACGGCGCAACACGTTGAAGTCCTTTGAAAGATTTTGTCGCTGTACGTGAGCCGCTTCTCCGCTCACATGGTGTATTGTGGCATTGATTTGATCAATAAAGTTATAGAGCTCGTATTAAATCTCGGAGAAAAAATCTGCCGATGGAGGGAATCGAACCCACACCCTCCATACTCTAGGGCCGAGAGAGGCACCACCAGGCTGTCGTTATAGCATAGAAATTGTATTGAAAGGTTTTATCGCACAGAGAGTCTGCTTCTCTGATACCAACGCCATTACATTCCGCAGCGCTGCTACCGACCAAGCATCGCTCCTTTCCTCACCTCGACCTCGATAAGGGTCTGGATGTGAGCGCGCGCCGCGTGCGCCTTCTCCTCTAGCCCGATAATGACGATCTTGTCGGCGTTCTCGGCGGCCGCATCGGCCCGTGGGAACTGCAGCTCCACCTGGAACTCGTCGCGCAGCCGCTTGACGTGGACGCGCTGGCCGAGCAGCTGGAAGTGCAGCTGGGGATCTACGCGCATCTCCACGCGATACTCTCGCCGCGCCTGCAGATGAAACAAGCACAAATCACTCCACCAGCACTAACGCCACCATACGCCTGCATACCCGCCCGTCCTTCAGTCGGTTCAGCTCCTTGACGCGCGCCGCCAGCTCCTCCTTGGCCGCGTCCACGTTGCGGCGCAGCCCGCGGATCGTGATGACGCCGCTCCGCTCGGTCGCGTCGGGAATGTTGATGTGGACCTTGAAAGCATCCATCAGCTGGCGGATGTTGGTGCCCGCCTCCCCGATGATGCTGCTGTGGTAGTCGATCGGCACCGCCATCTCCTCCACCACCGGCTCCAGATCCTGTTCAGCAACCGCGCAGAAATGTACTTGAAGGCGTAAAATCCCATAGCTACCAGTACACATCAGCTGCCGCACAATCAATTTCAACAGGCTGTACCTCAAAATCAACCTCGGCAATCTTGTAGTCCGACTGGTAGGCACTGATGTCCAACGAACAGTCGGAGAGCACTTGGATGCCGGTGGGGGTGACGCCCACGGTGCATTTGAGCAGCGCCACCAGTTCGCCTTCCTTCTCATACAGTACCGGAAATCCCAGCAGGATACCGTGATCCACGCACTCCTGGGCGGACCGGCGCGCCGTTTTCTCGTTGTCAAAGTGGCGCAGTGAAAAGCCGGACGTTCCATACTTCTCATAAGCTGCAGCGAGGAACTCTAAACAATCCATGCAATACAGTCAACAAACGCACACCGCATCAACCTTAACAAGTGCAGTACGGGAAGGCAAAACTGCAAAAGGCTCTTCTGCCAACAACTACCCATAAGTGGATGACAAATAACACGGTTATCGGGCAGTGGTTAAATAATTTGCACTGAGCGCGAAGCGCGGGGTGCTGCAATAAGCCTTCGTCAAGAGCATAAAATTTGACTGACGCCACGAAGAGCGTACGTCACGCTTTTCCAATTACACAATCCCAATACCTTTTTCCAGTGGTATTGGCGCTCGCGCTCATGCAATAATGTGGTTCGCAACCACTGCTAGTATAATTTTTACAAGTTTGTATAAGCAGGATTATGGGAGTACGTACTGCAGAACACATTGACAATGCACAGGACACGTGGAAGAGGGAACTACACTGCATATGTCGTACTCACTCTTCGCACTACGGGACACAGAGCGAGGTAGCGAAGCGGAGGGGTCGGTCCGGCGGTAGATGTTGGCGTCCGTGTCAAGATATTCGTAAGCTAGCCCTTCGCCGGTGCTGACCAACACCTCCAATTCAGCCACTTCGTTGACGTGGAATTGGGTTTTTCTCTCGGGCAGCAGGTGCATGAGCTTGCAGTGGAAGCCCGCCACTATCGACTCCACTAACTGCTTGACTTGACCATACTACCAAGAGGCAAGAGCATAAGCATCATTATCAGCTGCCAATGTTCAACTACCCAGTACAACAGGCATACGCACATCCCATGGAACTCCGCCTTTAATCAGCCGTGTGTAGGCTTCCATAGCAGCGTGTGTCGCCAGCATGACGTCCGCCGGGCGTCCCCTCGCGGGATTGCCCTGCAGTTCAATCACAAATGTTAAAACGATGCTCTTAAAGCATCTCAAGTGGAATTGCCTATACAGCAAGCGATTGTTCAGGTTGGAAAAGGATGCGGGGTCACGAAGCAGCTATGACTACGATTACCAGAATCGCGAAGCACCAGTTCACTGTGCGGTTAGATCGCAGGCCTAAATGTAATAGAACGTCCCGTACAAACGGAAAAGAAAACTCAAATTAGGTTTAGAAAAAGAATGGGGTGGGCTCGTGCAAAACAGTTCTCTGGCTGTTCTTGCAGCTTTTTACAACATGTCACGAAGTCGACACCCACTGAAAACCGAAACCGTAAAAACGAACTATGAAATACTGCAACTCACCGTCGTAGCACCGACTACTTGTGAATACCCGACACAGGCGACGCATCCGTCAATGTGAACGGCCAGTTCGCTGGAGAGAACAAACACGGCTCAGTGATTAAGAACACGCGGATAAAAAGGAGCTCCATACATCTTGACAAGATCTCCGTGCTCCAGCAGACGGTCCTTGTCGCTCTTGAAGGGGGAAAAGTAGCAGACACAATGGTTGACGCTGATGCTGGTTGGAAACGCCACCCCTGTCAAATGTCCATACATGCTATTCCAAACCACAGCGCTGTGCGCTAAAACCCCACCTTTGTACAGATGCTTCTCTTCCTTGAAGACCAACGAGGTCTCCGCAATGATCATGCCATCAGCCGCTTCGCACATCTCCCGCACGGACTGACTGGGCACGCATCTCTGCAGGACGCTTCCAACAACCTCTGCAATCAAAGAAAAATCTGGCGATTTTTGTACTTCTACTACGCATAAAGAATGCAACGAGCTCAAAACAGGCCACGGAAATCCTAAGTCCGACTTGGTTATGATGTTTTCAGGACGCACACTGGACGGGGAAGGACCACTCGAGCAGCGCGCGTTAAATGCGTAGGGTGCAGACTTACTGGATGCGATTTGGCCTGCTGTTTGGTACTTGTGCTTTATACTCATATTCGTCACAATAGGGATGTCTGAGGACGAGGACATTTTCGAAAAAAAGGGATCGTAGAATTCACAGGTGAAAAGAGACTAAACCGAGTAATATGCGTATAAAAACAGAAAAGCAAACCAAAAACTGTAGAACTTCGTAAGAATTCCAGTGTCAGAATTTGCCAATTTGGACAGTGTTACGACTGTTATCAGCGTAATACTGTACTGCAATGGCATTTAATATGGCAGTCGATTGCAGACTTCTAGCTCGCTTCCTGGGGGGTTGACAGAACACCTCGTGTGGGGAGAAACATCGATAAAATTAAAATTGGTTCTGCCTTCGCATACAGAACCAATTTGCCGAAAAGTTTAAGTTATGGCAGCAACTCGCAGTATTTTTCCACGCGACTGCATCGTGATTAAATTTTATTCAACAAGGGAGTCTAGCTTGAGCTATTAGTTTTCTTACGGAAAAACGCGTAAGCAGTTAAGCGTTTTCCAAAAAATCGCCGTGTCCGGACGCCCTTAAATGCGATTGTTATGGAACTTTATGCCGGCTGCCGACTTCTGTAACGGAATCACCTACAAAATTATGCCGGCGTGATTGTACACTTGCGCTGGTCACTACAATACAGTTTATTTCATGGCAAATAGAATTATAGAGTTGTCTACCCAATGCGCAAGCTTACAGTCTTATCGCAACGCAGCCTTGATCACGTGAAACGTTGCATGCCGCTCAATGCCGGCGAAGTGGCCTGGCGTTAACATTGAAACTGTATAAAAAATGTGTCGGCTGTGAAGCAGTTGACACGTCTAATGTCATAAAAAGTCCTTTATATTTATTGAACGATTGTTTCGACCTCCGGAAGCTGTGATTAAGAAAATAATTAAAATCAGATGATCCAGGGTCGCAATCAGAGCCCCTGTGCGGCGAACGCAGTGTGGGCAGTAAGTCAGGCGCTTATTGTTACGTCTGAATGGGCCGCATGTGACGGCAGCCGCAATAATTCAGAAACACCGGCGGCCGCATTGATCTCGCTGACAGCCGCAGTCCACTGGACTATTAAGTTTAAGCTCTACCCCATGCTATCTAGAGCAAAGATAATCCCGGGGAAAAGGGATGCCGCAAGTTTCTGCCCGACAACAAGCAGCTCGTGCTCGGAACTGTTAACGCTTAGACGCACCTTGTTGTTGTGATTGAACATATCGTAACCGACGTAGTTGACAGTGTACAGATAAATTCTGCTTTCTTTTCTATCTCTTTTTCATCATATTTGGAGAAACGATGGATGAACAATCTTTACGCGCGTTGATTAGCCGAGCAATCTTAAGTCTTCATGGTCGCGAACAGTTCCATCGTGGAGGATTGTTACGATGATTTGGAATACTGGCGAAACTACGATGAAAGGGTCCAGCCATCGCTGGAACTGGAAAAACAGTGGTAAATGTTGCCTGATAAAGATTGTTGCGGTGCACTGTACCTTCGGTGCAGTCTTTTATAAGAAATCGTTTTCGCAGTAGTGTTTTCGCACTAGTGTATTTGAAAACTGCAATGAACATTGGCTGTACGGTACAGCCTGTACTGCACAGCCTTTACGGTTGAAGCTAATTTATTATGTACTGGCACTCTTTATCTAGGTATCCCCTGTTACAAAATATTTTTGACATAAGCAGTTTTTTTATGAGACTGTACGATTCCATTAATGCGTACCAGGTGCAGACGCGCAATTATAAGCTGCACGTAAACTGATATCGAAGAAAAAAGTGCGCTAGGGTTGCAGTACAGTATTTATTTATGTGTTGGCAGTTTCATATTCCCTTTATTGCACTGGATAGGCCCATACGGGCCGGCACACCGACATTTCCTAACGACTTTTTGCTGACCGACGAAACGATGACCCGACGGTTTGTTGAACGACTAATCGCTGAACAACATCTCGCTGAACGACTTTTTGTGAACACCGACAAGTTGCTGACGACATTCTACTGATTTGACAAACCCAAGAAACCTAAGGAAAAACAACAAGAAGTTAAGAAAATTCAAAAACCAACGTATCGAACCGAAAAGCTAGTTGTCTGTCAGCAAAAATATTTATACAAAACGTCGATCAACAAATTACCAGAAAAGCAAGTAGTCGATCGGCGAGTTGTAAGATCGTCAAATTGGCGTGCTACCGCAACGGGCCACGCGACCTTTTATCCCGTGAATATTGGACAAAATTTCAAAAAGAAAATCAGTTTTTCCACAAAATGCATTTTAAAAAGAGAGGATATCTGTGACACTGGTTTAGCGATCCAGTAGTACGAAATAACAAACAGCATTAAAAATCAAAGTGTGCCCCGCCCGATGAGAGGAAGGCTCGTGATCAATGCCCGGCAAGGGGGACGCAGCGCTCGAACCTGAAAATGGTGCAAATCTATAGGGCGGGTACAGTAATCAAGACGGATTTGGTAAATAGTTGTACAGTATGTTGTAGTGTATGTACAGAACACATCAAAATTGCCAAAACAATTAACGTGTATTACGAATAATTTTTGGACCCCATGAACGTGCGGATGATTGATAGGGATTCGCTTAACCCTGTGGAGAAGTCGGCGATGCCTTTCCCGGAGGCAGCTTTACCACCAGCGGCATCGCCAGCGGGGACGGATACGGTTTTCCCGCAGCCACAAAATGCGGTTGCCGCATTGTGGGACTTTCACGAGATTCCCGACGAGATAATACTCTTTCTGAATTCATCCCAACCAGGTCAACCTTTGCCAAGGCTGACACCGGCGTTTGAGCAACAACAGCAGATACCGTTGATTCACAGCTCAATGGTGGCCGGTCCAGTACGGCAGCCCAATCCGGCAGCGAACGAAGAATCCAGTGCTATGAGTGCCGTCCAAGCCAATAAAGACAAGCGGGGACTCCTGAGCGGGCAAGGGATAAAAGGGGATGAAAGGATGAGCTACAGGGCCACAATCTTCAAAGCGATCATCGAATCGCCGCACAAACAGCTGACCTTAAGCGAGATCTACGCGCACATTCTCAACCAGTACCCGGTATTGTGCGCCAATAGGAAAGGATGGCAGGTACAAGCGCCAATAGGAAAGGATGGCAGGTACAGGCTACGCTACCCGTTGCCAAAGGGGGTTTGGGTGTTCGACGAGCGAAAGCATTGGCTCCTTCTGCCAATTTGGCTTCCATGTTTGCGACTCGTCCGTTAACATCTCAGATCTTTCAAGGCAGCAGCGAGCAGCTGGTCAGCGATGCGTGTGAACACTGGAAACTGGAGTCCGCATGTGATGAGTTACCGTTAGATTTGGCTCGTGTTCATCAGTGTGTATGGGATAATGCTGTCATACAGAAGGATGCTGATGTTTTGTGGAATAATGTTGGCGGCAATAAGCGAGCTGAAGCACGTATGAGAGCAGTTAGCACAAAATACGCCGGAGCCTGGCTCAATGCTCTTCCCGCGAAAGTTTTCGGCAACTTCCTGGATGATCAGACTTTCCGCATTTCTGTTGGCCTGTGGCTTGGTGCTAAGATTGTGGAGCAGCATTCGTGTGCCAGATGTGGTAAAGAGGTCGCGGAAAACGGATACCATGGGCTAGCGTGCAAGAAGTGCATCGGGAGAAGGGAACGTCATAACGGCATTAACGATATCATATTGCGAGCACTATGTAATGCCGGCATTGAGTCATACCCGGAGCCTATTGGCTTTTTGCGCGAAAACGGAAAACGCCCGGATGGAGCTACGCGTTGGAAGTGGTACCGCGGGCAGCCATTAGTATGGGACGTTACTTGCAGAGACACGATGGCGGATTCATACATCGACGCGACCTCAAAGTGTGCTGGCGCTGCCATGAACTGGCATGCCGGGAGAAGATTGGAAAATACAAGTCGCTTACTGATCGCTGTAATTTTGTCGCCTTTGCATGTGAGACTTTTGGCACTTGGTGTGAGACCGGCATTGTAACGTTAAAGGAGATCGGTAAGAAGTTGTTTTTAAGGACGGGTGAGAGTCGCTCTACTTGTTTTCTGTTTCAGCGTTTAAGTTTGGAGATTATGCGTGGTAATGCAATGAGTGTATTGTGCACGGTCCCTTCCCATGTTAATTGGGACAAATTCTTCATTTGATCATGTTTGTTGGGCGAAGCTCGCCTTGCACATATTGAGAAATTAAAGCAAAAAAAAAAAAGTAAATTAATTATACGAGTAAATCGGCTTGCTTAGGTTCTAGAGTTATTTTTCGTTTTTGGTTTGCACTCAAAATGGGGATTGCCGCTTAGCTATCCAACTAGGTGTACAAGCTTGCCCGGTAATTTCTGAGAATCAATACAGCGATTTACACAAATTTGCGTGTTACGCCGAACCCCACAATACGGCGCGCCACGCCACACTGTTTAAACTCGTAACTTGCATTTGGCTGGCTGGTGGCTTGCTACACGTCATATAATTTTATGGGAATGATAGTAAGAAGAAAATTCCTGGCGGAAGATGGCTAGAAAATTATCGGTGCAGTAAGCGATAATCTAACTGCGGAGCGCATTCAGAAATTTTGATAAACGTACCAGTGAATGATGGAGTAGTGAATTAAGTGGCCCTGATTATAAGCGCAAACTTCGCGCTAGCTGTACCTTTACGTAGGAAATTACTGGACAAGCTTGTAGTGCTGTCACCTTGTGATAAGAAAGTATATCTGCGTTCCGGAAATTAGTAACCAACGTTTTGCATTAATTATTGCATTATACAAAGTTATATACAAGCCTGGTCCCGTGAAAACGATTGACTTTACAGAACACCGTCCGTAAAAACTTCAGCAAGAACCAGTGCTTCGTGAAAATTCCACGAGTATCCCCCCAAGGAAACGGTCAGTTAACAGCGAGAGAGCGTAAGTAAATTGTACATTTCGAATTTTCTGCCCGACAGATCGTGCCGGCCCGGCATGAATGCAGAAACTAAACAACCAGTAATCAAACCGGTTTTCTACCAAAGTACCTATGCGTTGTTAATTATGTAGGCTATCAATGGACTATACATCCACATTTCATGGACTTGTACGAGGGCGGGGATTATCGCAGACGGCAATCCGCGAAGCTAGCCCCTCACCAGACTGGCGCTCCCAACATGGCGGCATTTCCCCCCAACATCTCG